TCTATGGATTTCACATGACTGGAAATATAGATATGCATCTGCTGGTCACAGATACCTTTACAAATAAAATTAGGGCGTAGATCAGAAAACCTGTATCTGGTATGACCACCATTTGCATCGGGCAGCGTGACTCATCTCCTTCGCATAGTGTTGATCAGGCTGTTGATTGTGGCCTCTGGAATGTTGTCCCACTCCTCTTCAATGGCTGTGCGAAGTTGCTGGATATTGCCGGGAACTGGAACACACTTTTGTATACGTCGAGCCAGAGCATCCCAAACATGCTCAATGGGTGACATGTCTGGTGAGTTTGCAGGCCATAGAAGAACTGGGACATTTTCAGCTTCCAGGAATTGTGTACAGATCCTTGCGACATGGGGCCGTGCATTATCATGCTGAAACATGAGGTGATGGCACGACAATGGGGCCTCAGTTTCTCGGTATCTCTGCACATGCAAATTACCATTGATAAAATGCAACTGTGTTCGTTGTCCGTAGCTTATGGCTACGCACATCGGTCTTAGGGATGGCTAACTCTGGAAATTATTTTGGTCTCTACTGAGTTAGGTAAATCATCTTTGTTTTGTGGAACAATCTTCAAAATGTTCTTAAATTGGATGTTTTGGTGCCTCTAGGCCAATTCAGAACGCTGATTGAGAACCTTTTTACTGATGAATGTCTTTGTTTTATATACATTTACATTTACATTTTAGTCAATTAGCAGACGCTCTTATCCACAGCGACTTACAGTTAGAAATATATGACAGTGTTTTTCTTTCTTTCTGCTTGCATTTTGTATTTATATTTTGATGTGTGTATTTTCTATAATTTATGTAATTCAGGGCTCATCTGTAAAAGAGACCTTGGTCTCAGTATGACTAAATAAATAAACAGCAGTCTATGGGCAAGTCTACACGGCTGTCTATGGGCAAGTCTACACAGCAGTCTATAGGCAAGTCTACACAGAGGTCTATGTGCTACTATTCTACACAGAAGTCTATGGGCTAGTCTACACAGAAGTCTACGGGCTAGTCTTCTACACAGCAGTCTGCTCTTGGCCGTGGGGATTACTTTCATTACAGAGCTGCAATTCAGAAGTAATGAGAGGATGGAGCAGGGCCAGGAGAGAGATGGACCACGTCCAGGGGAGGACTGCTCCCATTGTGTGTTAACTGGGACAAACCTGGGTCAGTAGTAAATGGTTCCAGAACATAAACACAAACCAAACACACAGCAGACAAAACCAAGAGGAGGAGGAGGCGGAATAAGAAGATGATGAGGATGAGAAGAATGAGAGAAAGAGAGTACAGAGAGATAAAGCAGTTTCTTGGATTGTGAGTCGATCCATAATGATTGATCATCTGAGTAACGCTCCTTCTGGGTAAAAAACAAAGACAGTAAAGCTATTGGGTGGAGTCCATCTGAGAGCCATACAGTAAAACCATTCTCACATGGGCTCCCTATTGTGCAACACCACTTTGTGTGACATCACTGCAGTCGTGAAGCGAATGATTTGCGTCGTTAAGTGCATGGCCGTGCTCAAAGTGAAAATGTGCACCAAAATCACTCATCACACATTGTAAGCTAAGCAAGCTAGAACTAAAGTTAGTTAGTTAAGTATATTTGCTAGAAACACTACTGGGGATAGGCTATATCAGCTGATCATCACTAATGCAGGCTAGATGAATTGGCTAGTTAGCTAGGCAATGCTGTTAAAACAAGCTAGTTTTTACTTGATTTGAATTTGTTCTGCTACTGACAAACGGTCAAACTGCATTTGCCCCCTTCCCTGTTCCTGACCGTGGGTCAACACATGATAGCAACTCCAACGTAACCTACTACTGGCGGTATTAATTTGAAACTCACCGCTCGCCGCCGGTCGGTAGCTCGTGCATGCGACTAGAACAAGTGCAGCGCTCGCGGTGGCAGAAGGGCGATTCAAGATTCAATGAGAAATCATCTACGTAGTTTGATAGGCAATACGTTGCATTTAAAGTTACAAGAGAAAAAAATAGTATATGTGTAGCTGAGGGTATCTTTAGTGAAAATTCTAGTAAGTGTGAAGACCTTCTTATAGCGAGAGAGAGCTACATTTCTAAAACATAACCCATAGGCTGTATCTCAGAACCTAGGCCTATCTGTAAGCCTTTCTATGGCTCTGTCAAACCCAAAAGCCTTTGGCCTGATTTCAAACTCTTGGTCATATCTATAACAAATTGGCTGTATATCCAACCATTTGGCCTCATCTCAAACCTATGGCAATATCTCAAGTCCTCAACCATATCTATAATCATTTGGCCACATCAAGCCTTGCACTGTGTGTACTGTATATCAGGGCTATGTTACCATGGGGCCGGAGGTAATGACTGCCGTTTTATGTACTCTTAACCAACCGTGCTATAACTTATTTTGTACATAATGTTGCTGCTACCGTCTCTTATGACCGAAAAGAGCTTCTGGACATCAGTACAGTGATTACTCACCTTGAACTGGACAAATAATTTTTCTTTAATGAGTCGGACAAGAGGGATTTGCTCCAGACACCCAACAGGGCCCTCATCCCCGTCATTCGCAGTAGAAAAAAATGAGATATCACGGAAGGAGATCGGGGTGCTAGGTAAGGAGCCGGCGACGAGTGGCTAATCTTCCTTTGCCATCGATACTGTTGGCCGACTTACAATCGCTTGATAATAAAGTGGACGAACTACAGGCACGAATATCCTACCAACGGGACATTAAAAACTGTAATATCTTATGTTTCACTGAGTCGTGGCTGAACGAAGACATGAATAACATACAGCTGGCGGGTTATACACTGTATCGGCAGGATAGAACAGCAGCCTCTGGTAAGACAAGGGGTGGCGGTCTATGTATATTTGTAAACAACAGCTGGTGCACGATATCTAAGGAAGTCTCAAGGTTTTGTTCGCCTGAGGTAGAGTATCTCATGATAAGCTGTACACCACACTATCTACCAAGAGAGTTTTCATCTATATTCTTCGTAGCTGTCTATTTACCACGACAAACTGATGCTGGCACTAAGACTGCACTCAATGAACTGTATATGGCCATAAGCAAACAGGAAAATGCTCATCCAGAGGTGGCGCTCCTAGTGGCCGTGGACTTTAATGCAGGGAAACTTAAATCCGTTCTACCTCATTTCTACCTTCATGTTAAAACTCTAGACCACCTTTACTCCACACACAGAGATGCGTACAAAGCTCTCCCTCGCCCTCCATTTCGCAAATCTGACCATAATTCTATCCTCCTGATTCCTGCTTACAAGCAAGAACTAAAGCAGGAAGCACCAGTGACTCGGTCAATAACAAAGTGGTCAGATGAAGCAGATGCTAAGCTACAGGACTGTTTTGCTAGCACAGACTGGAATATGTTCCGGGATTCTTCCGATGGCATTGAGGAGTACACCACATCAGTCACTGGCTTCATCAATAAGTGCATCGATGACGTCGTCCCCACAGTGACTGTACGTACATACCCCAACCAGAAGCCATAGATTACAGGCAACATCTGCAATGAGCTAAAGGATAGAGCTGCCGCTTTCAAGGAGCGGGACTCTAACCCGGAAGCTAATAAGAAATCTCGATATGCCCTCCGACGAACCATCAAACAGGCAATATTACAGACTACAAAGGGAAGCACAGCCATGAGCCGCCCAGTGACACGAGACTACCAGACGAGCTAGATTACTTCTATACTCGCTTCGAGGCAAGTAACACTGAAACATGCATGAGAGCATCAGCTGTTCTGGACGACTGTGTGATCACGCTCTCCGTAGCCGATGTGAGTAAGATCAACATTCACAAGGCCGCAGGGCCAGATGGATTACCAGGACGTGTACTCCGAGCATGCGCTGACCAACTGGCAAGTGTCTTCACTGACATTTTCAACCTCTCCCTGTCTGAGTCTGTAATACCAACATGTTTCAAGCAGACCGCCATAGTCCCTGTGCCCAAGAAAAATAAGGTAACTTGCCTAAATGACTACCGACCTGTAGCACTCACGTCTGTAGCCATGAAGTGCTTTGAAAGGCTGGTCATGGTTCACATCAACACCATTATCACAGAAACCCTGGACCCACTCCAATTTGCATACCGCCCCAACAGATCCACAGATGATGCAATCTCTATTGCGCTCCACACTGCCCTTTCACACCTGGACAAAAGGAACACCTACGTGAGAATGTTATTCATTGACTACAGCTCAGCGTTCAACACCATAGTGCCCTCAAAGCTCATCACTAAGCTAAGGACCCTTGGACTAAACACCTCCCTCTGCAACTGGATCCTGGACTTCCTGATGGGCCGCCCACAGGTGGTAAGGGTAGGTAACAACACATCCCCCATGCTGATCCTCAACACGGGGGCCCCTCAGGGGTGCGTGCTCAATCCCCTCCTGTATTCCCTGTTCACTCATGACTGCATGGCCAGGCACGACTCCAACACCAGCATTAAGTTTGTAGATGACACAACAGTGGTAGGCCTGATCACCGACAACGACGAGACAGCCTATAGGGAGGAGGTCAGAGACCTGGCTGAGTGGTGCCAGGACAACAACCTCTCCCTCAACGTGATCAAGATAAAGGAGATGATTGTGGACTACAGGAAATAGAAGAGGACCGAGCACCCCCCTTCCTCATCGACGGGGCTGTAGTGGAGCAGGTTGAGAGCTTCAAGTTCCTTGGTGTCCACATCACCAACAAACTAACATGGTCCAAGCACCCCATCTTTTACGCTGCTGCTATTCTCTGTTCATTATCTATGCGTAGTCACTTTAATAACTCTACCGACATATACATATTACCTCAATTACCTCGACTAACCGGTGCCCCCGCACATTGACTCGGTACCGGTACCCCCTGAATATAGCCTCGCTATTGTTATTTTTACTGCTGCTCTTTAATTATTTCTTACTTTTATTTTGTATTATTTTATATTGTCCACTGGCCTACCATGAGAGTTAGACTGTGATAAACGGGTTAGCACTCAACACACATGCTGCTGGAGAGGGAGGGAGGAAAGACAGAGAGAGTGAGTGGGGGGGGGGGGGGTTGATTTGAAGTTCTGCACAAATGTTTCTCTCTTCTCTCTCTCTCTCTCAGAGAGAGAAATGGAAAGAGAGAGACATAGTCAGAAGGAAATGAGCAGCGAGGTTTTTGTGTGGATAACTCTCAGAAATAAAGAAGAAGAAACATGGCTGCTGATGACTGTATAGCCATCCCCAGATCCACAGCTGAAAGTCATATTGAGCTCTGAGTTTCCCTTTTGACCTTCCTCTCCCTCCCTGAGCCTTTGACAGGGACGTCCCCAAGGCCCAGAGCTGCTGGGAGAGGTCCGCTTTCACCTCACAGCACTCGCTCCAACACACAGACACTAAGAAAACACAGAGGCCATCAAGACCTGTGCTCCACACGCATGCACACACACACACACAGCTTGCTGGGCCTATTTATTCTTCCTTTTTAACATTATTTCATAAAACAGATAGATAGAAATGGGGGGGGGGGAGCATGAAGCACGAAACCTCATACAAATGGAGAGAAAGACAGAAACAGAGAAAGATAGTAGCCGTACTATATCCCATACTTTATGCTCCACATTAGGAAGGGAGCATGGCAGACAGACTCAGCAGTGAGAGAGACCAATGACAGTTCGCTGCTGCTCCACACTTCACACAGCAGGAGGAAATGATACACCCACAGAGGAAAGACAACGGGAGGGGAGAGGAGGAGAGAAGACGAGAGGCCTCGGTAGAGTAGAAGTGGAGATGGAGCAGGATCAGGAAGTGTAAGGCTTACATTTGAGTCCCGGCAAGAAACATTGGTGTTGGTTACTTGGTGGGTTACAAGGAAATCCAAATGTTTGAATGCTGTGTTTCAGTGTAGTTCTTAGTGACAAAACTCAGGCATATCTTCTGGCACCCGAGAAGAGTACCTCCTCTGCACTGGGGCCCTCAGGGTGTTTGTGTTGTTATTCTTATAGGTCCCCAGTCAACCTCTATCCCCAGTGTCAGGATCTCATGACTAAAGTCAAAGATGCGATTCCTTGCCTATAGCTGCAGGGTATACATTACAATACGAAAATAAAGGAAAATACCTACACCTTGCTCGTAGAGGTTTAATGTTTTGACCACTCCTACAACTTCGATAGATCCACTTAGTTAATAGTTGTTGACGTGTTGCTTCATTAAAGCAAGCAGGCCAATACAGCAGGCTTTCTTACCAAGTTAATGACAGGGTTGCTCAAGGACCGGACTCATAGCCCCCTGCCCTTGTGTCTGTGCAACAGAGCATGCATGCCTCTCTCTCTCACTCTCTCTCCTGAGGCATCAAAGGTCTGAGGAATCAAAGGGCTGCTCATGCCATTAATTACTTCTGCAGATTACTATAACAGAAAACATTGTTCACAAGTACTCACACACAGCTCTCCTCTGAACATACATATCCTATACACTAAGCTTTAAACACACACATACGCATGCACTCTCTCAAGCACTGTTCCTTACACACTCCCTGGGAGTGTACACGTGCCTGCCTCACGTTTGGGTCATGTGAGTCAGACATGTGAAGCCTCTGTGGCTGTGGAGCCGAGAGGGAGCAAAGAGGAATTCTAGCTCAGTCATCAACACACTCTTAAAACTTCTGAATGACGGAAAGGGAAAACCCAGAGAGAGGGGGCTCCACAACTGGTCCTTAGGGACCAGGACTGTGCATGAGAGAGCGGAGTGCTAGGGCTGCCACAGTGGGCTCACATTGGTAAAGGCTTCACTACCACACACACACGCACCTATGCACAAACATTTGCATGCACACACACAATCTACAGTTACACACATGGCCATATCTTTCACTGAGTCTCACTGCACATACAGTACACAAGATCCTTCACTGCATATTCACATGGCGTCATTCATTTCCAATAATATTTACAGTGTAGTTAACACTGATTGGCTGTACATTACATAGTGAAGGACTGGACCGAGCTGTTTACCGTTCACTGTCAGAACAAATCACATTGTTGAAGGTTTATAAACACACATTTGGCTGAGGAACCAGTGGTCCCCATAGCGTTGTAAAAAGCAGCTATAGTCAACAAACACACAGACACACACCAGTCCTTTTGACATGTAATCATGGGGACTTGGTCATTTACTAAAAGGCCACACTCTGACAAGCAATTCATTATAATTATGCGCCTTGCTTTACTACAAAGTGGTAACGGATTTAAACAGATTGACTCTCAATGTGAGAAAGAGAGAATGCCAATGCTTCCATTAAACAGCCTGAGAAATATGCCTATGAAGACTGATGCATAACTCTCTCATTCACATGCACACGCGTACGAATGCACGCACACACATGCTTGCGCACACACACTCCCTCCATGTATTATTCCTGCTCTGAGGGGATAGATTGAGACAGAGAGACCAGTTTGTACTGGCAGCCTGACTAGCCTGTGAGCTCTATGGAAATGCAACATCTAATGGAGTACAACATCTACATTGACTGACAGGGGCTGGGTAGGTATGCCTTGAGGATGCACACAATCAACCTCCACACTCTGCCCTGGCCCCGTGTGTTTTGTGTGTGTCTTTATAAGGGTGGCTGACAGGCAGCACGGGGTGGGAGCAATCAGGGATATTAAAAGGAAATGGTTGCAATTCCGGACCCAAGCAGGATAGTTTTACAAGGGGGAGGGGGTTATTGGAATGAAATGGGACACAGTGATGGTCCGTCTGACTGGACCTCCAAACTAATTGGACAGCTGGGTGAGTAACTGCACTCCTGAAGTCAAATGCCCTCGCATGTCCACACTAGGGTGTTCACAGGTCCACTGAAGTAGAGGGCTGCATTTATCCGCGGGACCCGACAGAGATCATTGCAGCGTGGTCTGCATTTTTCATGCTGCGGGTGGGAGCGGCCGATTCCTCCTCAGTCTGAAAAGTGTTGGTCATCTATTCTCAGCTGTGAATGCAAACACACACAGGCAGCATCTCTACGACAATGTCTTGCGGTCAACCTCCTGGCAGATATTTTCTGTCATAAAACAAACCTCAAACATTTTGAACAGTGTCGATGAGGCTGGTGTAATGGACACACGTACCGTATGGCACCTTTTGAACAGTGCTGCACTGTCACTAGTTAACAGCCGTTTCTACAATTTTTCTTAAAATTTGATTTTAAACCTAACCACACTGCTAACCTTATGTAATCTTTTGTAGCCAATTTCGACTTTGTGGCTGTGGAACTTGACTGTGGCTGTGTTATCTAGCGGAAACCGTCACAGATCAATGGGGGAAAGGTATTTTGAAAGTTTTACTGACATCATCATTCAGAGACCAAACATTACTGCCTCCAGATTGATCTACAGGTCTAAAGTACAGAGCTACAGTAAAGATCAGGGCTGCCATCTAGTGGAGACAATCTGTTAATAACATTTTCTGAACACAATAACCAAAATCACACACGGTATCAAAAGTTGTTTAATCAAAGGAAATGTCCAGTCACAGAATGTTACAGTAAATGGGTACAAAGGACACAAAAGGGGGTTGGGGTGGGGTAGAGGTTTTACACTCTGCTGGATAGTCCACACTGGGTAGATTACCCACACATTGTGAAAAACAACAAGTCTTCAGTGGCACAGTTAGATTAAGGCAGAGAGTTTATAATGTTCAGAATTAACTGTTCTAGGGTCATTTTCCACTAGAATGTTCTACATGCGTTTCAGATATGGTGTCAACTCAAACACAAATCAACGGTAGCCTACTTGGGCTTTTTCTGATTTACTGTCAAAGACAGTTTTTCCACATTTCAGAATTCTCCTCTAGAACCTTAGAATGATCCACCTAGAAAGTGCCATATTGACCTCATTCCTTATTGCAACTAGACCTTTCCGCTCAGATGGCCAAGTGCTCGTTTATGAGTAGACTGACAGAGAGGTTACAGAGAGAGCCAGGGAGGGGAAAGCATGGTCTGAAGTGTCACTGGTTGGCATATGGAGAGTGACACCCCAGAATCTAGAGCCTTGGAGGAAAGAGTTGTTTTTCCTTAGTGGTAAAACTCCCATTCAAGGCAACACACTGGAAGGAAATGAGAGAAAGACAACAGAAGTCCTCTCTCTTCTTTTACATGATGTTTCAGTCCTGTTTCCTCCCCTGACCCAATACCTGGGACCCTGGATAATCTTCAGAGCATGTTCAGTCCAGTGTGACCCCATCAGGCAGTTCCACTACAACAGGGTCACAATCGTCAGGGTCTACCTCAAAGTCCCAGCAGAACTTTTTGGTCAGGTGGGCCTTGAACTTCTCTGCCCTCTTCCGCAGGGTGCCGTCCACCCCCGGCCCACTGGCAAACTGGAAGAAATCCTGAGGGAGAGCAGGGAAATGGAGAGCAGGTTAGAGACGAGACACACCATACACCGTAACGCACGTCGGACGTACTCAGTAGATCACCTGCTGGGTGCCGACGAAAGAAAGGCGATTCAACATGTAGAATCATCGGGAAGTTAATAGAAAATGGCAGACTATGTTTTGTGGTCAGATGCGATAGGACCAATGATGTGTATGAACCCTAGATGACTGACAGGGGGCACTGTTTTGAAGCTACTGCGCAGTCATTTTTGCACTAGATTCAGCCACGGGCTGAAGTTCGTTGGAACGAACAGGGGGTCGGAAAATTATAAAGTATTGCTTCTTCATCGTTTGTAATGTATTCCCTTGTGAATCTGGTGATGTAATTTATTTTTCCCTGATCAGAGAAATGTGCCATTTAAGTCACTTGCATTATTTACCATAAATTAGTGTGAAAGTGCCAAGTTTTGCCCACTAGATACAGCTGTTTCTGATACCTTTATCAATTTTGCAGGTCTCTTGTGTTTATTAACCCATAAGCCGTCTCAGCCGGTGGAGGGGTTCTACTAAGCTATATGGAATTGTTTTAAGAAGGTCATAACAAGGATAATTTAGCTATTTGATTTGGAATTTTAAGACCCCTTGAAGTATATATTTTAAAAAAAAAAGTAACTTTTTTTTGTCCCCATTAAAAATGTTATTTGGCCTTACTGATATTAGCCCATTCAAACGCATTGAATAACAGATTCACTACATGGAACAACAGATAGTCCCCCCCAACAAATCTAAAGGAAGTTTGTTCTGAATTGTCTGTCCTATATCTGAGAGAGATAAGAAAGATCTGGAAACCCTTATTTTGGCACTAAACAGTCTCCATATATACTTCCATTCATTTATTCAACTGGTACTGTGGGACCTTCAGACTAGTCTTGTGAGGCCTGTGGGCGTCCTTGACATGTACATGTTCGTGAGAGTCTCACCTTTCCACAGAAGGGTCATATTAGTCTGTAGCCAGAACTGTTCGGACCCTACAGACGATTTTGTGAGAAGACCGATTTTCGGGACGTCTCATGGTCTGACAAACAACTCTAGCTCTGTCTCCTTTCACCACAGATGCAGAATTGCGAAATCGGCAGATGCAGTGGATTGAGATGCATCCAATACAAAAAAACATCTCTAGCTTAAACTGACAGATTTCATGGTGATGTTTTTATTATGCTAATTCGATTTCCGCGGGGGCACGGACATCGACTCTAGGGGATTAAATTATCACAACATTTTCTTTGCAACTTTGTGTAGAAAATCCATAGCTTTTGCTCATGATGAAAAAAACATTTGAAAATAAATTGTGCAGTCATCCTCACAATTCAAGCCAGTCCTCCATGAAAGCAATTCAGTTTTTCATTCTCTTAGGCTTCATTTATCTCCAGGAAATGGCCCCTCTGTGTGTGGTTTATTCCCTTTAAAAAAGGTATGGATTAGTTAAGACCATTCCTGGTCAACAAGCAAACCATTAGGCTACAGCAGTTGTAATGGTTTCAATGTTATGTCCTCTAATGGTCTTCAATTGTAAAAGTCCCAAAGGGTGATGCTTATTGGGCCGGGTTGGGTTTAATGGTAAACGTCACTAATCACACTACATATAGAGATGTTTTCTAATAATTGTATTTAAAAACATACGACTGCCATGCAATGGTTTGGTCCTCTGTAGCTCAATTGGTAGAGCATGGCGCTTGTAACGCCAGGGTAGTGGGTTCGATCCCCGGGACCACCCATACGTAAAATTGTATGCACACATGACTAAGTCGCTTTGGATAAAAGTGTCTGCTAAATGGCATATTATTATTAATTTTTATCATTGTATTATTTTATTAGGGTTTTCACAATATTTTTGTCATAGCCCATTTCTCCGTCAAAGTTTCGGGCTTGTAGAAAAAGTATTAATATGAGAATCACACCATATGGATAGCCCTCTCTGAGAGCTTCCATTTGTTGTACTATTCAATGAGAATTGGTTGAAGCATTAGGTTGCTAAGAGAAGGACAAACTGAATTGCTTTCATGGAGCACTGGCTTTAGCACACAATTGACCACACATTTATTTTCATCACGAGCAAAGGCTATTGGTTTTCTACCCAAAGTTGAAAGGAAATGTTGTGATCCATTTATTAAACACTAGAGACCAGAAACATTGATAAAAGGGTGTGGTGGCAGTAGTAGGAACAGCAGCATCTAGTGGTAAATATTGCAAGCGACTTCAATTTCACAGGAAATCCATTACAAAGGATGAAGAAGCAATATTTCAAACTGCATCTTTATATTACTTGTCAAACATAAAGAACTGATACTGTATACTGGTTGTTGGGGTGGGATTGGTGTGGGGTCCGTGGGTGGCTTTTGACAATTTTATTGGATTCCTCATATCTTATTCAACTGTAGGAAGAAGTTTGGTTCAAATTGGATGTTGGGTACTATTTTTGTTGAATATTATGTGAATCCTATAATTTGGGTGCAATCAATTAGCTTAATTTATCAGAGATCAAATTAAATGTCAACAAAAGAATGTTTTAGGAATGCTAATCTTATTTAAAGATTAGACCTTAAAACTCATCTGATCTTAAAACAAACCTTTTTAGATTTGCTTTGCCTTAGGGTGCTTTTTAGTCGTTCAGTTAGTATTGTTATTCTTTTGTTTTTTATCCTCGTGTTTGTTGTGTAGTACATATTTAAGTTTTTATTTTCATTGTTTTATTTGTTTTTCCTGTGAAGCACATTGTGTTGCATTCTATGTCTGAAATGTGCTGTATAAATAAAGCTTGATTTGATATGTTTCTAACTACAGAAAGTATTTCAGAACAATCTGAAATGGTGGGTGTCATGGCTTGCTGAAATGACATGGAATGACCCCTGGGGAAGATACTCTATAACACAGACATCTGTAATGATGGGGGTTCATTCATGCCAGCTCACCTGTAGTGTGGAGGTGAGGAAGTTGTCCTGGGACACGATGTCTACAAAGAAGTCTGGAGGTATCTCCCCCAGCTGGTGGTAGAGCACAGCGATGAGGCCCAGGTACAGGTCCCGGCGTTGACGCATGGCCTCCTCACTACGACACAGCAGGGCTAGAAGGCGCTTCCAGTGCTCAAAGCCCTCGTACACATTCCCAATGAGGAAACACACAAATGCAAACTGCAGCTCACCTGGAAGGGGGAGAGAGGGAGAGAAGGGCAAGGGAGAAAGGCAAAGAGAGAGAGAGATGAGCAATCAGTCAGACAGTTAATTATCAACTGGTAGTGAACAAACTCAAAACAATGGTGACATATCCAGTTTATTTTACACCTCTTATATAAAGCAAAGACTGTCCCATAAAATGTGGTTCATAGTGGTTAAGGATAGGCGGTTGAGGAAGAAATATGACCTACAGCAGGGTTCTAATCATGTCAATTCAAATGTCTAAGCCCCAATCTCATTTGATGTTCCGCTGTCTATACATTTCTAGTCTAAGTTCCAATGCAATTTAATTGCTCCATAAATTCATATAAACTGGTAAAATATACCACATAGGTCTCCATTCTCACTCACCCAGCACGTTGAGTGGCTGCTGCTGGTGGTGTTTCTCCAGTAGACTGTCCAGGGCATAGCTCAAGTCCAGGCTGCACTGGGTGATCTGGGCTGGGGTGGCCCCAGGTGGGTAGTTCTGCCTGGGGATGGGGGAGAACCTCAGCTCAGTCCCCTCTCTTGGCTTCATCCTGGGCAGCCTGTCCAGGCCCTCCCTCATGCTCTGACACTCTGTGTCATTCCTGGGCAGGTTCTGCTCGTCGCGATCCTTGGTGTGTGTGAGCTGGAGCTCTGGGATCACGTCACTGAAGGCGCACACACGCCCAGAGAGAGGCTGCAGCCTGGTGGCCAGCTCCTGGTTCACCTTGTCAGTTAGGGAGACCCACTTCCGCATCACCTCGTACGGGTAGGGCCCCAGGAAAGGGTCCAGGTCTCGTAGGCCTGCCCGGACCCGACCCACCTCATCTTCATTCTGAGTGGCAGAGAAGTCCAGATCCTCCACTTTGGGGTCCCAGTTGGCCAGCAGGATCTCTCTTGGTTTCAGGGTGAGGAAGAGGCCTGTTCTAGGGCCTGTTTCACCTCCGCGGTCTGGTGCGTTACAGGAGCAGTAGTGGAGGAAGTGGAGACCTGGTGGGATCATTTTCACCCCGCGGAAGCGAGGCCCAACCTGCCAGCTCTTGTAGTCAATGCCCAGCTCAGTGCCCTCGGGAACCCCCAGCAGTACGAGGGTCGCCCCCTCCTCAAACAACCCCCGTGCCACCTCGGGATCCATGTCCACCGTGGCCGTGGCTGTTCAGACAGTGATGGGAATGGATCGAGACAGACGTTAGCAAGCTAGTTCTTTGAACGTCATGCTTCATGATTACTACAAAAAAAGTCAGTTAAATACCGTACATATCAGATGTATTTTACTTTATTATGCTTTGAGCTAGCAAGGTAGCTATGTAGCTAGCTCTAGTAGCCAACGTTAGATAGCTAGCGTTAGCTAGCTAAGCAAGGCTAGCAAGCCGGTTCTGAATTGAACTCCATAACTAAAGTTAGCTACCAAACACTTGCCCAAATATACCCTTAACGTGCAAATAAAGTTCACATACTTAGCTAACACACGAGAGTGGTGTTTCGAAAATCAAGACGTTTCAAAAAAACATTCACTGTACCTGAAATTTTAGTAGATGCGTTCATGTTGCTACTTCACATGACCGTGCGTGCCTAACATCTTTCCCAAAAGAAACAAACACCTAAGATGAGAAACGTTCCGAAGGAATGCAACTTGGGAAGACTTTTTGAGAAAAAAATAAGATGATTATTGCATCACACGAACATTGTACAAAACAATATACAAATATCACACATGACAAAAGACCCCCCAAAAAAGTAAATAATAAATAAAGACACAAAGCAAGTATATTACACTATAGACAAATTACATCTTGACAAATACTGTAGACACTTATTTGATCATTTGCTATTTATAACTTTCAGGGATGTTATATAATATTCTAAATCAGTTTTTTCTTTATGGATGAACATTTTTCCCTGTAAAATTAACAAATCCACAATGTATTGGCAGACATTGTGCATGTACTGTATTAAATAAATAAAAAATGTATGTAAAATAAGATGTGCAAACCTGTAAGCATTACCAAATTTGATATACTTTTTATCACTAACATATATTTTCATATCTGTCCAAAATATTTCACTATGCAAACAATCACAAAATAAATGCTCTATAGTCTAATTTTCCAATTCACAAAAGCTACATTCATTTTCTACATTAATTACATATTTAGAAACACAAATATTACATCAAATCAAATCAAATGTTATTTGTCACATACACGTGTTTAGCAGATGATATTGCGGGTGTAGCGAAATGCTTGTGCTTCTATCTCCGACAGTGCAGTAATATCTAACAAGTAATATCTAACAATTTCACAACATATACCCAATACACACAAATCTAAGTAAGGAATGGAATTTAAGAATATATACATATATGGACAAGCAATGACAGAGTGGCATGGACTAAGATACAGTAGAATATTATAGAATACAGTATATACATATGAGATGAGTAATGCAAGATATGTAAACATTATTAAAGTGACTAGTGTTCCATTTCTTAAAGTGGCCAGTGATTTCAATAGGCAGCAGCCAGCCTCTAGTGTGCTAGTGATGGCTATTTAACAGTCTGATGGCCTTGAAATAGAAGCTGTTTTTCATTCTCTCGGTCCCAGCATTGATGCACCTGTACTGACCTCACCTTCTGGATGATATCGGGGTGAACAGACAATGGCTCGGCTGGTTGATGTTCTACTGTATCTTAGTCCATGCCACTCTGTCATTGCTTGTCCATATATGTATATATTCTTAAATTCCATGGCCTTGAAATAGAAGCTGTTTTTCATTGTCTCGGTTCCAGCATTGATGCATCTGTACTGATCTTGCTTTCTAGATGATAGCGGGGTGAACAGGCAATGGCTCGGGTGGTTGATGTCCTTGATGATCTTTATGGCCTTCCTGTGACATCGGGTGCTGTAGGTGTCATTACAAGGATAACATGTGTGAAGGATCTTGCAAGAGACTTCTCTTACTTTATCAGTTATCAAATATTTATGTGGATTAGTCCACGCATGCTGCCATTTCACATCAAATCAAGATGCCCATTGAAAAATTGCAGCAGGGGTAAACTTCCTGTTAATAATTTCTCTGACTAAATTGTTACATTTCTTATCTAATATATTGATGCCATTCATTTCTACACTATCACTAATGTAATGAAAAGCTTAATCAATCCTTCAGTAAAGTAAGCATTCCATTGGGAATAGCTTTCATTAAAATGTAATTTTCCTTACACAACATAACAAAGTTATATTTGGCTAATACTTCCCTGTAAGTATAAAGATCACCATTATCATTTATAAGTTGACTAAACACAAAGATATTATTGGCAAACCAATTATTTAAAAAATAAGGTTTTATTTCTATATATAATATCACTGTTATTCCAAATAAAACTTTTGTGGAGTGAAGTTGTGCTTGTTTAACAAGGACCAGCACATTAGAGCTTGTTGATGAAATGTTGCTAATTGAACAGGAAGTTTACCCACAGCATAATACAAAATGTAGCCCCCCAATTTTCTGGAAAATAAAATAAAATATGGTATTATATTCCAAAGACTATAAGGTTTTTTGAGATACCTCTTTATCCAGTTCACCTTTGTAGTCTGAATAAACAGCATACAATTTAAAACATTAAGTCCACCATCACAAATCGTGTTGGTAATGAGATCCTTCCTGATCTTGTGTGTCTTATTTTTCCAAATTAAATGGAAAAATAATTTGTTTAGAATGGTACTTGGGAATGTCTAAATATGTAAAAAGATAAGCTTGAGATAAAACCCTCTGCCTTTGACAGGAGAACTCTACCCTGAAGACGACTTTGTCTTCTTCTACGAAAGGCTCATTGTCCACCCTCCCTCCCAAAAGCCTGGAAGGGATGAGAGTGCCAAGCCTATGGGTTAGTAGCTTCAATCCCACAGCGCACACACACACTTACACACACCAACTGATTAATGGACTGCTGAATGTACAGTCGTGGTCAAAATGTTTGAGAATGACACAGGTATTGGTCTTCACAAAGTTCGCTGCTTCAGTGTTATGAGATATTTTTGTCAGATGTTACTATGGTATACTGAAGTATAATTACAAGCATTCCATAAGTGTCAAAGGCTTTTATTGACAATTACATTAAGTTTATGCAAAGAGTCAAAATTTGCAGTGTTGACCCTTCTTTTTCAAGACCTCTGCAATCCGCCCTGGCATGCTGTCAATTAACTTCTGGGACACATCCTGACTGATGGCAGCCCATTCTTGCATAATCAATGCTTGGAGTTTGTCAGAATTTGTGGGTTTTTGTTTGTCCACCCGCCTCTTGAGGATCAACCAATACCAAGTATTGATAAACATGCACCTGTTAAGAAACTGACTGTTAGAACTGTTAAGGCTCCATGGATTGAAGAGGAATTTAAAAACTGTATGGTTGTGTGATGGAAATGTTGATGTTTGTGCTTTTCTAATAATCAATTTCTGTGTTCTATTCATGTGCTTTTCTAATAACACATTTATGTGTTCATGCAAGTGACTGATTGAACGAATCCTCACTATCAGTATCTGCAATTTGGCAGAACGCCCAGAACCTTGTTTTGAGAAAGGGATATCTCAGTTTCAAGGTCTCAGCTTAGAGAGAAGAAGCCTCGTGAGGTATTGGTCTGTCACCTGCATGACCCAGTATTGGTCGGTCACATGAAGGAAGCAAATGTTAATGATGAATTAATTATGAATGACAAATAAGCTAAATCATGCAAATATAACTTGTCTGTATATAAGAGAACTAAAGGGACTACACCGGGTAGAGCTCCTGGTCGTCATGTGTACTTGGTGCATTGAGTTGGTTGGAGCCTCTCTGGCATGCTGATAATAAAGAATGATTCATTTAAGTTTGACTTTGAGTGTCCCTGTGTAAGAATTTCCACAACAGTTGAAAGAGATGGGTCAAAAGGAGTGGCTAATAAGTCTGGCTGCACATCTGACTGGCTGACTTACTACAAATTGAGAAATTATGAGACTAAACTCAACAAAAAGAAGTAGAAACTGTATTATGAAGCCAAGATCAATGATATAAAGAATTATGGGAAAAAAAACTTTGGAGAACCTTAAATTACATTTTGGGCAGAAAAACTTTCATCGAATCAGATGGCTTATTCATCACAAAACCATTTGATGTTGGCAATTATTTTAATGATTGCTTCATTGGCAAAGTGGGCAAAATTAGGCAGGAAATACCAACAATGAACAGTGAGCCATCATACTCATGTACAGTACCAGTCAAAAGTTTGGACACACCTACTCATTCAAAGGTTTTTCTTTATTTTTACTATTTTCTACATTGTAGAATAATAGTGAAGACATCAAAACTATGAAATAACACATATGGAATATTGTAGTAACCAAAAAAGTGTTAAACAAATCAACATACAGTGAAGGAAAAAAGTCCATCGTCCATCGTCCCTTTGATGCGGTGAAGTTGTCCTGTCCCCTTAGCAGAAAAACACCCCCAAAGCATAATGTTTCCACCTCCATGTTTGACGGTGGGGATGGTGTTCTTGGGGTCATAGGCAGCATTCCTCCTCCTCCAAACACGGCGAGTTGAGTTGATGCCAAAGAGCTCGATTTTGGTCTCATCTGACCACAACATTTTCACCCAGTTCTCCTCTGAATCATTCAGATGTTCATTGGCAAACTTCAGACTGGCCTGTATATGTGCTTTCTTGAGCATGAGGACCTTGCGGGCACTGCAGGATTTCAGTCCTTCACGGCGTAGTGTGTTACCAATTGTTTTCTTGGTGACTATGGTCCCAGCTGCCTTGAGATCATTGACAATATCCTCCCGTGTAGTTCTGGGCTGATTCCTCACCGTTCTCATGATCATTGCAACTCCACGAAGTGAGATCTTGCATGAAGCCCCAGGCCGAGGGAGATTGACAGTTATTTTGTGTTTCTTCCATTTGCGAATAATCGCACCAACTGTTGTCACCTTCTCACCAAGCTGCTTGGCGATGGTCTTGTAGCCCATTCCAGCCTTGTGTAGGTCTACAATCTTGTCCCTGACATCCTTGGAGAGCTCTTTGGTCTTGGCCATGGTGGAGAGTTTGGAATCAGATTGATTGATTGCTTCTGTGGACAGGTGTCCTTTATACAGGTAACAAGCTGAGATTAGGAGCACTCCCTTTAAGAGTGTGCTCCTAATCTCAGCTCGTTACCTGTATAAAAGACACCTGGGAGCCAGAAATCTGTCTGATATAGAGGGGAGTCAAATACTTATTTTCCTCATTAAAATGCAAATCAATTTATAACATTTTTGACATGCGTTTTTTTGTTGTTATTCTGTCTCTCGCTGTTCAAATAAACCTACCATTAAAATTATAGACTGATCATGTCTTTGTCAGTGGGCAAACGTACAAAATCAGCAGGGGATCAAATACTTTTTTCCCTCACTGTATATTTTACTTTGCCTTGATGACAGCTTTGCACACTCTTGGCATTCTCTCAGCCAGCTTCACCTGGAATACTTTTCCAACAGTCTTGAAGGAGTTCCCACATATGCTGAGCACTTGTTGGCTGCTTTTCCTTCACTCTGCCGTCCGACTCA